TGTTATGCAGATGATACACAATTGTATTTATCCATAAAGCCAGAAGAAACTGATCAATTAACTGAACTTCAAAAATGCCTTAAAGACATAAAAACCTGGATGAGCACCAATTTCCTGATGTTAAATTCAGATAAAACTGAAGTTATTGTTCTTGGCCCCAAACACCTCAGAGAATCTGATGATATAGTTTCTCTGGGTGGCATTGCTCTGGCCTCTAGCACTACTGTAAGAAATCTCAGAGTAATATTTGACGAAGATTTGTCATTTAATTCCCATTTAAAACAAACCTCACAAACTGCGTTTTTTCATCTGTGTAATATTGCGAAAATTAGGCCTATCCTGACCTGAAAAGATGCAGAAAAATTGGTCCACGCTTACCTCTAGGCTGGATTACTGTAACTTGCTATTATCAGGTAGCTCTAATAAGTCTTTAAAAACTCTCCAGCTAATTCAGAACGCAGCTGCACGTATACTAACAGGAACTAAGAAATTAGATCATATTTCTCCTGTTTTAGGTTCTCTGCACTGACTCTCTGTAAAATCCAGAATTGAATTTAAAATCCTTCTCCTAACGAACAAAGCTTTAAATGGTCAGGCTCCATCATATTTTAGAGAGCTCATAGTGCCATATTATCCCACCAGAACACTGCGCTCTGAGAATGCAGGGTTGCTCTCAGTCCCAAAAGTCTCCAAAAGTAGATCAGGAGCCAGAGCCTTCAGCTATCAGGCTCCTCTCCTGTGGAATCATCTTCTGTTGCGGCCCGGGAGGCAGACACCATCTCCACATTTAAGACTAGATTTAAGAGTTAACTTTTTGATAAAGCTTATAGTTAGGGCTGGGTCAGGCTTGCCTTGTACCTGCCCCTAGTTAGGCTGACTTAGACCTAGTCTGCCAGGGGACCTCCAATAATACATAGAGCACCTTCTCTCCTTCTCTCTCTCCTTTGCTAACACTCCTGTTACTGCATCTCGCTAACTCGGCTGTACTGCATGTCACTAACTCAGCTTCTTCTCCGGAGCCCTTGTGCTCCACTGTCTCACAACTTATATCACAGCGGTACCTGGATAGTGTGACTTGTGTGGTTGTGCTGCTGCTGTGGTCCTGCCTGATGCCTCCTGCTGCTGTTATCATTAGTCATACTTCTACTGTTATTACACACTTATGATTATTGTCACATATGTATACTTAAGCAATATTACACTTGAGCTCGTGATGTTATACTCGTATATCGTCACGGCTGTGATTCGGTCATAGACACGAGGCTGCAGGCCGTGACGATATACGAGTATAACATCACAAGCTCGAGTGTGATATTGCTTTTATACAACAGTTCAACAGTTAAACAAGCAAGGCTGATTAAGAAATGTTGAATAATAAGGACAAAATAGATAATTTAAGGATTTTATTTGTCTTCCGCCAACAAAAATAGTTCCCTCAGGACTCTGCTGTCACTGTTGCTATGTAACCCAAACATGGTGCACCAGGCACTTACTCTTTATACACATTATCTGCACATTTCCATTAATTGTGCAGCACGTGAAATAAGTCTCTGGTGACTGCATGGTGGACTGTCGCTTCACAGGCACAGCCGACAAGTTTGAAAGCAGTTGACGGCCCATTTTGTCCACCTCACAGTGTTAGCTTCTTTCTTGCTTTTCTTCAAGTCACTGAGCTCCGCTGATGAAACATTGACAAACCTGGATATGTGCTCAGATGGATTCAGCTTCTCCTCTCCCTCATCTTCCTCTGATGACCATTCATAGTTCAATTCAAAACTTATTTTAGGAAATAATTCCATATTTTTGGCTGTTTGACAGTGGAAGAATGAATTAGCCTACAACGCAACCGCTGACCTAACTGACACTAACCGTCATTTTTGATTTGATTGTTGATTGCAATCAGCTGTGAGGTGGAGTGATACATACACAGTGAAATAACCGTGATGTTGTACTCCAGTATCATCACGGTTTTACTGTCTCTCGACCAATCAGATTGCAGGGCCAGAACTAACTGTTGTATAATATCAGATTTTGATATGGACTTTCAACATATTGTACCACAATAGCCGTAATTAGAATTATAATATTATTACTTTAATTAATGTTGTTGTAAGCTACTGTCATTACCGTCTGTCCTGCATCTCTCTCTGTCTCTCTTTCTGTCTTATTGTGTCATATGGATTACTGTTCATTTATCATGTTGATCTGTTGTGGACGACATCTATTGCACATCTGTCTGCCCTGGAAGAGGGATCCCTCCTTAGTTGCTCTTCCTGAGGTTTCTACCATTTTTTTCCCCGTGAAAGGATTTTTTTGGGGGAGTATTTCCTTATCCGCGGCGAGGGTCCAAAGGACAGAGGGATGTCATATGCTGTAAAGCCCTCTGAGGCAAATTGTGATTAGTGATATTGGGCTTTATAAATAAAATTGATTGATTGATATATTATGAATTAATGAAAACCAAAAAAATGTAACAATAATAACAAAAAATCATGCATAGTAAACACACTTTTGAACTGGTTCAAATGGTGTGGTCGAGTGATAGAACTTACCTTCAGCTATCAGAAATAAAAAATTGTCTTCAATCATGGAATTTATGTAAGATTAAATTTTCCTTCAGGCACCAGCCTTTTTGAAAAGACAAAATTATAGCCAGTGAGCTTAGTCTCTAAGACTGCTTTAGAGTTCTTGGCCCAGTGTACAGTGGCCTTATATTTCACAAACACAAATCAAAAGATCTGGTTCTTTATAAATGGAAGTTTATTGAACTTTTAATTATACAATTTAGTGTCCTACCTGACAAACAGAAAAATTCTGAATAAATGAGTACAATGAATACATCAGTGAATTTGTAAATGAAAGCAGACCACTGTGTAGACCAGGTAGAGTCTGTAGCTGTCCTTAATGCTGACCAATAAATTTGATTTTAGAGATTAATGCATCATTTAGCAGTTGAGAGTGTAAGAAGCACCAGGAAAGAGTGTGAAGCAGTTAAATACAGCAATTTTCAAATAGATCTTTTAGTCCAATGCTTATAAAGTTCTTAAGAAATTAAGCATCAGCTCATTAACACACAGAAGATGTACTGCTTCACCTGACACGTGATGGCAATGGAGGGACAGGGCAGCATGCTCTTCTTCACACTGTGGTATTTTCGGACATTATCGGCTGCTGCATGGTGATTGGGCTTGAATCGAATTTCTCCATCTCTCTCTCTGTCAGCTGACAGCTTGTCAGCTTTTCACCCTCCCTCTTGTTGGGGCGGAGTCAGTTTCACAGCTTTTGCTAGACCTCATTCAATTCTGTGTCTTTATAAAGTCTCTTTTTATAAAGAGTTGCTATATGAGTCCTCCAGAGTTTCAGTGACAGCGACATGAAACCAAAACCACTCCCATCAGAAACCTTTGATTTGAATTTGGTTAGATTTTTTTTCCCTTTTCATAGAATTGGAATTAATATTGTTTACTTGACATTTTTAATTCTTAAATGAATGTTAAGGTCCCCTACCTTTAGAATGGCACCAAACACATATCATAATATTAAACTAAATTCCAAACAACTCCTTGATGGAGGATCAGGAGGAGACAGAAACTTGGTTAGTTTCCCTGGTTTCTACATCAAAACCAACATGTTAACACAAACTTCCCTTTGTTCGAGTATGTTAGCTAAACATAACTCATCAATGAATGTACGTTCTATTTTGCATGCAAAAATCAGTCTTTTTTTTTCCTTTTATGTGGTGGAGCCCCCAATTTTGGGGTGGCACACCAAAACCAAAAGGCAGGAATTCTATTATGCTGTTGAAGTACATGTAGTTGAAAACTATGCCAGGGACAGCCATTTTTAGGATGAGATAGAAGGTCAACAGTATCTGCCCCACAGAAGTGGTATGCATCTTCTGAAAGTACGGAACATAATGATGAATTTGAGATGCAGCACAGCAAGTGTCAAGTTTTTCTAGTCAAAAATCAGTTTAAAAATTAGTATTTTGGTCAGGCCCTATTCGAACTTTGAAAGTTTGGAGTGTATAAGGGCTTCGAACATTATGATAGAAGTATAATGGCCCTATGCTCAATTATGTTTCCCTTTTAAAAATTAACAAAATGCCTACTAGTTTCAGGACAATTAAATGGCCACTATACAGACTAACATCATCACACATGAATGAATTTGGGCTCATTGAGTCATTGAGTCTCAGCTTTCAGGACATTTTTCAATTTCAAGTCTCTTTAGGGACCCCAGGCGAGTATGCAGAAATATTCAAATGCACAACTTTTAGAATATGCAAAAATAACACATATATACTGCATGCAAGATACTTCATGTTTTATGCCAAAAACTACATGGGACTAGCACAAAGTGGGCATGTCTGTAAAGGGGAGGCTATTGGGTACCCAGTGAATCCATTTTCATTAAGATATCTGAAGGTGAGATGTCAAGGGATCCCTGTGAAAATGGCCATACCTGTTTTTCCCTCACCAAAATCTAGCCTAGCTGCACACTGGCTTTTAAATGAGCGTATCACAGTTTCATAAAGACAGAAATGTCAGCCTCCAGTTACTTTCGATTATTTTCATGAGTGGGGGCCAGTGGAGGGCCAGCAATTGTATCAGGGTGGCCATGCCACACCCCAACCCTGCCATCCCTAAGAGGCGCCACAGCTTGTATTGTGTGATTTTTCGTCATGGCCAGAGGAAAGCAAGATAATGGCCATAAAAAGGGGATGGGATCATAAATGGACTCGTTTGTCCCTTAATATTCTGCTTATCTGTCTTGATTTAGAGATCAGAATTCTCTGTAAGACTTTATGGTGGCAGTCACCCATATACCCCACACTAGCCTGTAGTCACTGAGATGGAGTGATACTGTAGGTGTCTGATCATGTAATGTAGCAGTTATTGAATATTTCAGAGTTACTCTATTAACCTAACATCAACAATATTAAAGTGCTAAATCCTCCTAAGAGCCACTGAACCTTAGTGTTTGTCCTCTTCACCCAGGTCAGTGACGGACCCCCGAGATGGAAAGCGAGTTGCCCTCAAAAAAATGCCCAATGTCTTCCAAAACCTTGTTTCTTGCAAGAGGGTATTTCGGGAGCTGAAGATGCTATGCTTCTTCAAACATGAAAACGTAAGTACACAGCAGTGCATTTGTCATCTCCAGATGCAAACACACTTGACTTGACTTCCTTTCCACCTAGTATTAGGACAAGATGTCAAACTTCATTTAGTTCATGGGTCGCATGCAGCCACATTTGATCTCAAGTTGTCTAGACCAGTTAAACTATGCACATGAACCTATGAAAACCCACACCTCCAAATGTTTCCCTTTCTTTTGATGTAAAGAAGTACATAAGATCAACAGACTAAGGTGTCTTAAAAAACATAATAATTTTAACATTATGTCTCAGGTACTCATAACTGTTATTACATGTGCATTTTCCATACATGTCCGCTCCTGTGTAGTAATGCTGGCAGCACCTCTCCAAACTAAAGTGGAAGCTATTGAGGAAGCAGGTTAAGTTATTCCCTGCCTTACAAACCATTTACACATCTTACACAGACTTTTCTGCTCTGATTGGTTGTTTTTGTTCTTGATCATGTACTATTGTGTCAATGTCGTGACAGTTTTAGCAAACATGACATAGTTATTGTCATTAAAGTTGCCAACTACAAGGCCATTAACTAAAAGTTTTTCCTTAATAACCTCCTAATTACTGCTTATTGATAGAAAGTAAGAAAATGTCTGTTAATATGCTCTTTTTAGTATGGGCTTTCAAAGGTGGTAGTACCACAAGAATAGTCTTTCTCACTTAAAGAAGTATTTAACTGCTGGAAAGATGTTCTTTTCATAGAACTGGGCTGTCTATGCAGAACAAAGATGCAAATTGCTGCTACATGGCATGAGAAAACAGAGACAACTTTCATGCCAGTAAAGTGAGAGAGAGAGAGAGAGAGAGAGAGAGACAGACAGACAGACAGACACAGTTCAGTAGAACAATAACACTCTTAACACACTTTGCTAGCTTGGTGCCAATGGCAGTACTCACCAGGTTGATAAAGTGCCTCTGCTGTTTCACGCCGGCATTTTTCCCTTTTTACTCTGTTGTGGTAACGTCTCTATAGAGGAAATATCAAAAAGGCTGGGCTGTTGGGCCCAGCTGTTGTTAAAGGTTATAGTTAAAGGAGATAGAGAAGATAAAGTCGCAGAATCAGCCACACACTCACCTTGCAGCATGGTCTCAAACAAAAGGGACTCAAATAGGCCACTCCCACATTTAATTATGGTGCGTTTCAGGCAGGCTTTTGAACTCGTAAGTCACAAGTTCAAGTCACGAGTTACAACTTTGTAGCGTTCCGAACATGGCGAACCGTTTGTTTGTGCTTCCCCATTATTGCTATCGCCAAAGGTACCTGCTCCTTGCTTATTTGAGTGAAACTGAGGAGGATAGGGTCACAGATGCTATTATAGGCTATTTTTTACGTTATCTGTGTGTTTGGAAACGTATTTTGTATTGATTTCTTCTTGCACTAGAAACCAGCTGTTAGAGCGGCTGCCAATGCGTTAACATTAGGGTTATTTTATGTCTATTTCTCACCATTTATCACCTGCATCAACACCGCATCCATAGGGCTGCCATTGTTGTTTAGAGGAGTAAGGTAATTGGTTTAGAAGGCTGTGTGATGTCAGAAACCGTAACTGGGAGTACATCGATCTGGTACGAGTCCACGGGTGGGAAGTTACGGGTTTGACTGCCGTTCCAGTGCACTTTCACGGGTTACAGGTTGTGAAAACACGAGTTACGGGTTGCCTGGAACGCACCATTAACCTTCCTCTTCCTGGATTTTATCCTGAGAGGACTGATTGGTGCATCTCTCCACCTGATCTCAAGGAGTTATGTACCCTGCTTAGTAGGTCCCCCTGCTGGCCCCCAACTGACATTACACCCCACTTCCACTGGACAAATTCTAGTTTTCCACCCTCGCTGCTCAGCTTCTGCTCCTAAGTCTGTATACCGAAGCTTTTTTCTTTCATAGGTTTCTTCCACTGAGTCTTCCCAAGGAACTGTCAGCTCAATGAAATAAACTATCCATTGAGTCACTGATCACAACACTATGTCAGGCCTCTGAGTGGTACAAACTATTTCCTGCGGAACAACAAGCTTTCCCCCTAAATCAACTTGCATTTCCCAATCACAAGCACCCTCTAGGCGGCCACACCCTTACCTCCTTACTACTGTACTACACTTCTGTATTTCTCCCCCTCACGGACAAACTGAATTGCTAAACTCCTGTTCTTAAAATCTTCTGAATCTGCCTGTCTTCATTTCCCTTCGATGCCTGCAGCTAAACTTTTAAACACCTAGTTATGTCACCATGTATACCGGCCTTGTGACAAGCAAACCTTACAGCCTGACAAAATATGCTTTAAGGTTGTGGTACCTGAACACAATGGGCATGATGGGTCCCCATTTACCCACTGTTTTAGGTTCTGGGTGGTTGGTAACACATCGTATGTAGCCCCTACCAGGAATCTAATACGATTCTCCTCCATATTCCACAGGTCCCTCCAACTAAGCTTCCTCTTCTCTACACTTTCCCAATTCAACCACTGTCCCTGCTTAGCCTGGGCCACTGCCTTTGCACCCGTCAATATCTCCTCCTGTCTACGTATCTGTTCCACAACCAGCTTTCTTTTATCTTTGTGACCTGCTTTATTCCATACCGGTTTGTCTGAGCCAAGCCCCAGGCCTCCCTGGCCAAACTGAACATTACCTACAATCTCTGCACATGCCTAAGAGCTGCCTCTGCCTGTCTTCCATTTCCTCCCCTTGGTTGGATTTGGAACCACACTCCTTTTTTTTTTTCCCCAAGATATTTTTTGGGGCATTTTTGCCTTTATTGGACAGGACAGGTAAGCGTGAAAGAGAGAGAGAGAGAGAGGGGGGGGATGACATCCTGACCTTGGTACATTTAAATTCCTCTGTTAAACTAGATACTGGCAGCTGAAGTATCCCTTTTCCATACAATGCAACACTACTTACTTCAACTTTCCTTGAAGTTATGATTTATCTGTTCTATCCAATCCTTCAGCCACATCTTTTCTAAATTTCACCACCTGTTTCTCATCATTCAACTCGACATTGTACCACCTATCTAAGGTCTTTACTTTTTTTTTTTTTGGAGATCAATTATATATTGTTCTTTTTCAAGTTACAGAGGCAGTTATTCTGTGTCCAGCGTGACCCAGTACAAATTACAATGGCAACAATACCTGCCCCAACCCTAACCCCCCCAACCCATGCCTAAGACACAGTAGAATTTGCAGGCCTATGCAGATATATACAAAACAGTAACATTAGCTACAACAGCAACAAAAATAGTAATAGTGACAATAGATAGAAAAATTATATTTTTTTTTAAAGGAAAGGAAAAAAAATACAAATAAGGAGAAAATATCACATAGAAAATCTTACATAAACAAAGCATCGTCACTCAGTCACTCACTACTCAACCATACAGTCACTCACTCATTCATTTCCAGATGTGCATCCCACGGAACACCATAAGCCCACATTGCTGCACGCAGCTGCAAATAGAAAAAAAGAATTGCCTGGAAGGTTATAAGATTTTTGTAAGTCAAGAAACTCACAGAGAACTTGTTGTCCCACAATGTCTTGGAATTTGTGAACGCCTTTGTCACACCATTGTGGAAAAATAATTTGTTTGCTACCTATTAAGAGGGAATAATTGCGAAAGGTGGGAGATTGATGAAAGAACTTATTACAAGTTTTTGCTAATTTCTGGACTTTATGCCATACAGTAAAGATATATGTAATAATTGGAACAAAGTCCCGTTTCACTATTTTCTGTGGTATACTTGAATATATAGGAGTTGCTAAGTGCTAATGATGATTTCATCCAATTGATTCTATATCCAGATAAATTGCCAAAATTTTCAAAGGTCTTAAGCAAATGAGACAGTGAATTAGATAGATTTTTTGTAGAAATTAAAATATCGTCGGCATACAAAGAGATGTTGAAATTGAAAAATAAATCACATAGTATACCAAAACAACCAAGCAAAGAGAACTGGTTTGATTCTGACTGCCAAAATTTGAGAAAAATATTGAGATACTATCAAATCAAAGACACAGACAATGTAATAATCCTGACCTTCGCCATCAATACTGTAAAACATTAAACCAACACAAAAGAACACTGAGAGCAAAAAGAGAGAAACATATCCAACACCAACTTGATGTAATTGAAAAGTCCAATGGCACAACACATTTCTGGAAATATTGGAACTACCTCACTAAACCACAGCAAGATGACCTACCTATTCAAAATGGTCAAATATGGAAAAATCACTTTGAAAAATCTATAGAGAGAAATAAATCTGAATTCAGCCCAACAGGACCTCTGTAAAAAAAACTCCAGTCATTAGAATCTGTGATTAAAGACTTTCCAATCACAGAGCAGGAGTTATTAGCAAAAATCCAGAACAAAGACAGAAAAAGCCCAGTGGTCCTTGTTGTAATGTGAACATTATTAAGTTAATCTTTATTAGAATAAGAGCACAATAGCCATGCGCCCACCAGGGGTCGATGTTGTAAAAGATAAGCTGGTTGGTATGTGCCATTTTATTTTGAAGGACACTTCCGCCTCCAGCATGTTGTTGTATGCTTTACCTCCCGCCGACAGAGATGTTAGCAGACGAGCTCTGTATGTACTTTTCATTTTGCTGTCCTTATATGAACTGCAACTACGGCCAAGATGTTGTCGAGTGGTTCTTTTAAAGCTGAAGTTACCACAGTCCTGATGGTATCTTATGTGAAATGATCAAATATGCAGATTAAAAACTTAATAGTGCTATACTAAAATTATTTAACTTTGTTCTCAGTGTTGGTTATTTCCCTGACATCTGGAGCAAAGGAATCTTGACACCGATATTCAAAAATGGAGATAAACTTGACCCGGAAAACCACCGGGGTATATGTATCAGCAGTAATTTAGGAAAGTTGTTCTGCAGCATCATCAACCACCCACTACAAGACTTCCTCCACCAACATCACATCCTGAGTAGAAGTCAGATTGGATTCACACTGAAACATCGAACCACAGATC